TTCTTCAAAATAACTTCAAACCAAGGTTTGAATTGGCTATAAATATATATTATTATTGCTTTATGTGTATATGTGTTTATTAATAATATATTTCATTATTTTTAACAGAAGAACACATTCTAATCCATGAGAGTAGAAAAATAAAATATAATCAGTTGAATGTTGATCAAAAGAGAACTTACATTCAAAAAGTCATTGATAATAATAGAAAGAGGAAAATGAATGATTTTGCTGGCAGTAGTACCAATAGCAAGCGACAATGGAAGATTGATTTGTTCTGTGGTGCGCTACAACGAGAATATGAGCATGGAGGTTTGCATAGATTTATTTTTTAATTTAGTAAAATAATTACATAATTTTATATATAAAAATTTGTTTAATACTAAAAACTATTATTTTCTTTCTAGGGCAAATTAACCATGAATTATTATTATTGCTTTATGTGTATATGTGTTTATTAATAATATATTTCATTATTTTTAACAGAAGAACACATTCTAATCCATGAGAGTAGAAAAATAAAATATAATCAGTTGAATGTTGATCAAAAGAGAACTTACATTCAGAAAGTCATTGATAATAATAGAAAGAGGAAAAGGAATGATTTTGTTGGCAGTAGTACCAATAGCAAGCGACAATGGAAGGTTGATTTGTTCTGTGGTGCGCTACAGCGAGAATATGAGCATGGAGGTTTGCATAGATTTATTTTTTAATTTAGTAAAATAATTACATAATTTTATATATAAAAATTTGTTTAATACTAAAAACTATTATTTTCTTTCTAGGGCAAATTAACCATGAACCAGTGTGTTCTTCATTACATAAATTACGCACTCCAAAGTCTTGTCCATTTTGTGGAGCTAAAAAGTTTGAACACGAGCCTCCAACATTTTCTTGCCACAATGGTGAAATGGGGGGGGGTGATTAGGATCTTAAGCTAATCTAATCCGATTTTATGTCAATTAAAACTAATACAAATATATTCTTGTAAGATAGATATACAAGAGTTATAAGCAAGAATAAACAATATAAATAAAGAGATATATCCTAGCAAAGAGGTAATATATGCAATGATATATAAACTAACATAAGGGTAAAATAAACATAAACAAGATAATAGTGATAGTATAAATAAACAATGCAAACACACAATATGATCACGGAGTTCGGACCTTCCGTCCTACGTCTCCGCTCCCCACTCCCGGGGAGAAATCCACTATCACAACTAGGTTTTCTACGCTCACCCGAATAACGTTTACACCTCACAATATCAGTTTTCAACGTTCACCGATCAACGTTCACAATCACTTATAATGTCGGTTTTCAACGCTCACCGATCAACGTTCACTCCTCACACTCGGTTTTCTAGCTCACCGAAAACTTTACAACACTAACAATGTAACAATAAATATGTTCTCTACAATAGATGAGAACTCAATGAAAGCTCACACTTAATTGTTACAACTCTCACCAACCCAAATATACTATGTATGAAAATACAATAATCACACTTAATTGTTACAACTCTCACCAACCCAAATATACTATGTATGAAAATACAATAAGCTCAAGTGAGTGTGTGTAACAATGAGTGAAATCAAATCAAAACTAAACTCAAAATAAAACTAGCTTTAATAAGATGATAATCAAACAAATAGATATAAAGCTAGAAATAAAGTTTAGAAAACTTCTCAATAGATCAAGAGGTAGAGGAGAAAGGTTGGATGCTCAAACACCAATGGTTGATCTCCTCAAGCTCGATCTTGTGAAATTGATATCACAAAACAAACTCTCAATTTGCTTAAAAGCTTTTTAAACAAAACTTAAACCAAACACAAACCCTTGTTAAAACTTATTTAAAACACTCTCTTATTCTCCATGAAAGATGAGAGCAAGGGGGGTATATATAGCCCCCCAAAATCTCAGCCAAAACCCCAAAGGAAAAGACCAAAAAGCCCAAGAATCAGAAATCTGATTCTGTACCAAAACTAGCCGTTGAGTGATCAGCGATCGACCGTGGAAAACTCGCGGTCGACCGCGAACAACAAAAAGGCCAGGGTTTGGCTCTGGACAACAGACGGTCGACCGTGGCGGTCGACCGTGAAACTCTCTGGACTACATCCGGTCGACCACAACGGTCGACCGTGAGCCATCAAGAAATATACCGAGTCTCTGGACTCTGGGACGGTCGACCGTGGTGGTCGATCGCAAACAGATATATGCAATTTGACAGGTTAAAAATATCAAATAAATTCTAAAAAATGTAAAACTTTGGAAAATGATTATAGACATGATAATAAACATGTTATAAAAATTGGTTTTCAAAAAGGACATCCCAAATGAAAATATCATTATTTTACAAAATAGTCCAAAACATAAAAATGTAAACATATGAGTTTTGACATTTTAGCTTAACCATGTTATGAAACATTACAAAATAATTATATAAACTTAATAAAAGATGTATATGATTGTTATTAAGTCCATAAACCAAGAAAATAATATTTTCATAAATTTACATATTTTGCAAACATTTCAAAAGAAAATATGATTTCATTGAACTAAATAAAATTGATATTGATGAAATCATATATATGCATGTAAGTATGAAACAAGAAATGTATTTTCAATTGTATTCAATTGTTTCATATTAAAACTTGAAAACTCAAAACCATGTATGTATATATATAACTAAATATATCTTGGTACACTTGCGGATGAAGCTTGAACTTGAATCTTTAACTTTGAATTGCGTAGGCTTCACTTCACAATTCCACCAACCTCCATTGGATATGATCGTGAATGTGCAATTTCATCTATCCTCCAACATATTGTTTGTCTACAATAAATAAGAAAACTCAAATACTAGACAAACAACATTAGTGGTAAATTATTTGTTAAACATCATCAAAACAAAGAGGCCAACACACCTAGCAGATGTGAATGTTAAGGACGAATTATATGCCCTTTATACCATACAAACCCAAGAGGCAATTGAATTTCGAAGACAAACAAGAAAGTATAATAGCATTTTCTCATTTACATCATTTGGGGTAAAATTTGATAGAGAGTTTGCATCAAACCAAAAAGGCGTTTTCACATTTAGAGCACAAGGACAAATATACCATAATCTCCCATCTCTAATTCTGAAAGAAAACAAGCCTTCCTACTTTCAATTTTACTTTTATGATACGGAGAATGAGTTGCAAAATCGAATGGGAATATTAGATAATGCAAACATGAGTATGACTACAACTAAAAGGTTTATGGATATATTAGAAGGTAACCCATATGCAAAATTCTTGCGGAAATTAAATGATTATCCATCTCTTGAAGACTTCAAGATCATAATAAATAGAGATGCTGCAGTAGATCAGCGTGTATATAACTCTCCAACAGTGGATCAAGTTGCAGCTATCTGGGTAGAGGGAAATAATGATAATATTCCATATGAGAGAGAAATAATTGCCCATTCACACTCCGGAAAGAATCATCAAGTTAAGCACTATTTCGGTTGTTATGATCCTTTATAGTATCCTTTACTCTTTCCTGGTGGAGATGTTGGATGGCACCAAAATATTAAAAGAAGGGAGAAAAGGGATATTCGCCGTTCAAAGCAACAACTAATTAGTACATCTCAAGTAACTCAACAAACTTTTACATCTGCAGAAGACATATTTAACCGAGAAAGAGAAGGTAAATCATAATTTAACATTTTTAATAATATTATTACATTAAAAATTAACTTAACATTCAAACTTGTAGGTGTTAAAGCACCAAAGGTGGGAAACATCTCATGTCAAGAATATTATTATTACAAGTTTCAGATAAGAGATACTCAACAATCTACTGTATTATTGTCAGCAGGTCGGTTGTTCCATCAATATGCTGTTGATATGTACATAAAGCTTGAAACAACAAGACTTGATTATTTGAGAAAGAAGCAATCAGAAACCAGAGAAGAGTTATTCCAAAGCATAGTCGATAGTGTAGCTGCAGGGGAAGCCAAAGCATGTAAAGTCGGAAAAAGAATAGTGCTACCATCATCATTTATTGGTGGCCCTAGAGATATGCGTTGTAGATATCTTGATGCAATGTCATTAGTACAATGATTTGGAAAACCAGATCTTTTCATCACAATGATATGCAATCCTGAATGGGAAGAAATCACAGAGGAGCTACATCTAGGCCAAACACTATGATAGACCAGATCTAACGTCAAGGATATTTCGAACGAAGTTGCAAGACCTGAAAGATCAGCTATTTAAAAAGGAAATATTTGGAAAAGTTGTTGCCCATGTTCATGTAATCCAGTTTCAAGAAAGAGGGTTGCCTTATGCACATATGTTGATTATACTAATGGGAGAGCACAAAATCACATCATCAGATCAATACGTAAGTACATATCAGTAGAAATTTCAGACCAGTATGAAAATCTAATCCTATATGAACTGGTTAAAAATATATGATGCATGGCCCTTGTGGAGATTTAAATATGAAGAACATTTGCATGCAAAATGGAGAGTGCAAGTATCACTACCCAATAGATTTTAGTCCAAGATCACTACAAGCGAAAGATGCTTACCCAATTTATAAAAGGAGCAAAAATAATAGAACAATATTGGTTAGAAACAAAATCCTTAATAATCAATGGGTAGTACCTTACAATCCATATTTGCTAACACGTTATAATTGTCACATCAATATTAAAATATGTTCAGGCATTAAAGCAGTGAAATACCTTTATTAGTACATATATAAAGGGCATGATCGAGTGGCAATTAACATTGAGTATAATGAAGGAGAAAAAGTTGTGAATGAAATCAAAAATTTCCAAGATGCAAGATGAGTATCAGCTCAGGAAGCTTTTTGGAGAATATATGAATTTCATCTTAATGAGATATTCCCGGTCGTCATTAACTTACAGCTGCATATGCCAAATCAGCAAAATGTTTCTTATTGGAAACATCAAGACCTATCAAAACTGATTCACTTGGAACATGTCTTTAAGAAGATGCTTACAAAATTTTTTATTGCGGGCAAAAATTAAAGAAGATAACAAGGAGAAACCTGAAAAGGAGAAGGAAAATGAGTTATTATATGTAGAATTTCCTGAATATTATGCTTGGGATTCAACAAGAAAATCTTGGAGTCCAAGAAAGCAAAGACAGGTGATAGGCCGTATAAATAGGGTTAACCCAATTGAAGGAGAAAGATATTACTTGAGACTTTTGCTTAATCACATCAGGTGTCCAACATCATTTGAGGATCTACTTACAGTAAATGGTATTCATTGCAAATCTTTCAAGCAATCAGCCCAAAAATTAGGTCTTTTAGAATCTGATGATAGCATAAGAGAGCGCTTAGATGAGGCCATTGTGTTCCAAATGCCAGCAGCACTTCGTTGTTTGTTTGCAATTATATTGGTTCATTGTGAGCCCACAGATGTTAATCATTTGTGGGATCAATATCATGAATCACTTTCTGAAGACTTCTCAAGGAAAAATCACTTGCTACCAGAGCTTCAGTAATAAATGATACACTTCTAAATATTAACTTCTACTTAGAAAGCATGAGAAAGGATATTCAAAAATTTGATTTGCCACCTTTACAAAAAAATACCATTACAGAGGAAAATTCATACACAAGAGAAATAAAAGAAGAGCTAGATGTACAAATCCCAACTGAAGATCTAAATGCTGTGACAAAACTCAACGCAGAACAAAATACTGCATGCACTACAATATTAGCACGAATTGAAGCAAATCAAAGTGGAGTTTTCTTTATTGACGGTCCTGGAGGAACTGAGAAGACATATTTATATCGTGCTTTACTTTCCACAGTAAGATCATAAGGCATGATAGCTCTTGCTACAGCGACATCAGGTGTTGCAGATATAATAATGCTTGGCGGAAGAACAGCACACTCCAAATTTAAGATTAAAATTCCAACAACAGATTCATCTATGTGTGCTATATCAAAGTAAGATGGTACATCAAAACTCATGCGAATAGCTCATCTAATAATTTGAGATGAGGCTCCTATGGCTAAACGCGTTGCAATTGAAACGTTAGATAGAACATTAAGAGATTTAATGGATCAAGATGAACCATTTGGCAGAAAAGTAATTATATTTGGCGGCGATTTCAGACAGGTTTTACCTGTGGTTTCCCGCTCAACAAGATCACAAATTATCAAAGAAAGTTTAGTAAGCTCACATTTATGGAACAAAATAGAAAAACTACAACTTTCCAAAAATATGAGGGAAATATCAGACGCAAGTTTCAGTGAATTTCTTCTTCGGATTGGGAACGGAGACGAACCAACATTTACCCAGGATCTAATAAAACTGCCTCCTACAATGTTGATCAAGAATCAAGGTGATGACTTACCAGAAGATTATCTAATAAATTCAATTTTTCCATCTTTGGATGAGAATTTCAAGTCTATTGAGTATATGAAAGATAGAGCGATCATTGCAACAAAAAAATGAATATGTTGACATGTTAAATGATAGACTAATAAAAAAGTTTCTAGGAGAAGGAAAAGAATTCTACAGCTTTGATGAAGTAGTTGATGACAAAAATCATCATTATCAAAAAGAGTTTTTGAACACCCTGCTACCTAATGGACTACCACCACACAAACTTATGTTGAAAAAACATTGTCCAATAATTTTACTCAGGAACTTGGATCCAACTAATGGACTTTGCAATGGTACAAGAATGATATGTCAAGATTTTAACTACAATGTTATTCAAGCTAAAATAACAATGGGCCAACACGAAGGGAAAGAAGTTTTCTTGCCAAGAATACCATTGTCACCAGCAGAAGATGAAGGATTACCATTCAAGTTCAAACGCAAACAATTTCCCATAAGATTATGTTTTGCAATGACAATTAATAAATCCCAAGGACAAACAATACCTAATGTATGTATGTATCTACCTGAAGCAGTTTTCTCTCATGGGCAATTATATGTTGCGTTGTCGTGGGGTACTTCTATGATGATGACCAAAGTATTAATAACATCAGATGGAAAAATTGAAGAAGAGGAAAGCTACACAAAGAATATTGTATACAAGGAAGTTCTCCATCCAACGAACCACACTGACTAATTCAAATAGAAAATAACATTTTTGAAGGTTATGATTTTATAATATTAAGTATCTTAATTTTTATTAAAGTTTTATTATATAAATAAAATTCCAAAAATTAAACACTTCCTTATTACATCATGCATTTTGTTCATTCACAATCATGTCCTAATATAAATTAAAATTACTTTAAACATTATAACTACTTTTAATTTATAAATTAAAATAAAAATCTAAAGCAAATTCATATTTATAGTTTATTTAATACTTCATATGCATTATTTTTTATATTATATATAACAAACTATTCAAAATCTTGCAGGCATAATGTTAACTAGCAACGAAGCTCCAATTCAACATATCCAAATACGCCAACTAAAGAAGTTTTAAAAAGAGTGGACCATTCATGTAGTCATTCTCAGAACTATTGAGTCCTCTTATGAGAACAGTAAAGGATCAGGAAAACTACTGAAACTAATTTTCGCTGACTCAGAGGTGATGTAGCAATATTCTACATAATGTATTACTATTGATAATTGTTGATGCTTATTCTTAAATAAATTAATACTGCATTTAGTTAAGAGGCTGTACAACAACATTTGATTCATTTTCAAAAAATTTCAACAACAAATATCATTTTCTTAAACTTATTCTATGTAAATGCAATTTTTTGCAGATGTCTAGCAATATAAGCAAACAAATAATGTGCATATGAACATCAAAACAACATTGTATACAATATGACAAAATAATTATTATTTATACTAAAATTTTAATAATTAACATCCCATAAATTTAATAATTAGTTGAATGATCAAACTAATTTAAATATTTAACTTATAGAGATTTGTAAATTATAATAATATAGCATTATTTATTAAATTTAAAAATAACTTATATCATCTATCGTTTAGCTTATTTATCTTATTGTACAATGTAAATTACGATGTCACTTTATTAAAATAATGCAGAGTTTGACAATATTTAAATCCATACAATCTTTTTATTATAGGCTTAAATGAATGTTAATGTATTAATTATTTGTGAAATAATATCAGTAATATTTGCAGGGACAAAAAATACAAGGTGTTATGTTTGGAGAAACTATTGAAATGTATAAGCACATGCTTCAGAAGAATCAAATTGTTTACATCTCAAATGGAGAAGTCAAACAAATAAACCCACTTTACGGAAATGTACATGAGTCAATTGAGTTGACATTGAATAAGAACATCTCTATCGAAGAATCGAAAGCTGAATTCCGATTTGACAAAATCTTGAACAACTTCATCTCAATCAAGGAGGCAATTTCCAAGGAGGATACAAGGAATATTAGTAAGAATTTGTAAAAAACTTTTAATTTTCCATTTTATAAATTATAAATGAATTTTAAACTTGTTATAAATTTATGTGCAGATGTTCTTGCAATAGTAGCCAATGTGAAGCCTATGATCAAGTATGTTACACGATATAATAAGGAGGACACAAGGAGAGACATCATCATAATAGATAAAGAGTATGCACATATGCTTTTATTTCAAATTAAATTAGTTATTAAAAATATAATATATTAACAAAAAATGTCTTCTTGATGCGGCATAATTATGTACCAAAATATGTTACAAGTGCACAACCGTGTTAAGTTATAGTATAAAGATATCGATCCCACGAGGAAGGTGTTTTGGAGGAGAAAATATAAAATTGGTTATTATGTTGTGTGCGTGATAAATAGGAGTGATGAGTGAATGTGATTGTGGAGAGATAATGATAGTGAAAGTGATAGTGTGTAAATCAATGTTTTTGAGAGTGGATGTGAGTAAAAAAAATAAATGTGATCAACAAGGCAAGAAGGAAGAATGAATAAAATCGAGAAACAAAAAAAAATCAAGAATGTAAAGATAACTGATTCAATTAAAGATATGAGTAATCTAGAATTAAATCCACTTCTTAGAAAAAGGTGATTCCCACGAGGGTTCTAGCCTAAAGGCGAATCAAAGAAAGTGAAAATAAACAAAAAGAAAAACTAAACCCAAGAGGGTTCTAGCCTCAAGGTGAATAGTGCAAAAAATTAAAATCTAACTACAAAATAAATTACAAAATCTAAACTATAAAATAAATTGTAAGAATTAAATGTAAGAAAATAAATCTACTCTATAAGCATGAAATAAATCTAATCTATGAGCATGAAATAAATCTAAGGCAAGAGGGTTCTAGCCTCTTGGCTATTTAAACAAGAAAATAAAATCTAATTACAAGCATGAAAATAAATCTAAATTAATAAGCAATAAAAGAGAAATAAGAAAAACAAACCTTCAAATTAATCTTCATCTTCATCTTCATCTTCATCTTCATCTTCATCATCCAACAAAGAGAAGAAGAGAAAAATTTAAAGTGGTGAAAAAATTATTTTATTAATTGTAACAAAAAGTTACAAATTTAGAAGACCTTCTCAATTAAGAGTAGCCCTTCTCTCCAAAAGGAGTTACAAAAATTTTTACACCCTTAACCCCTCACTCTCTACCCCTATTTATAGTAAACAACAATGAATGAGAGCCCTTGGATGAAGACTTAAGCCCTAAGGAATCATTTTTAACCTTTGAGCTTTTGGGCTTGAATTCTTGGGCCTTTTGCTTGTTTTCTTCATTAATTCAATGAGCTTTTGCTGAAAGAAGAGATCTTGAGCTTTATTCTTCATTAACCTTTAAATTCTTCCCATAATTACTTCTCCAGGAGAGAAATTCAGATCGTGCTTCTTTGTACGAATATTTGTCCATGATAAGTTCTGATTTCAGAGATGTCATAAATACAAAAGTTATAGATATCGTTCTTAGCTTTCCAGAGAATATTTATTCAGCCAATTCCGAGTTGATACGAGAGAGATATGGCCAAAATACTAAATATTACCGAGATATCCATATTGCATGATTTGTTTCCTTTTTCACAAAACTTCTTCATTTGTTCCTTGATGGTATATTTATTTTTCTTGGGCTTTTGAGCTTGGACTTTTGGACATTTTCTTAACATTTTGGGCTTCAATGCTTCATTTAATATTAAAAGAAATTATTTGGCTTCACGGGCTTCATTCTTTTGCTTTTGGCTTTGGGCTTTGGTGTTAAATCAAGGGGTCTTTGTTGAGAGATGAGAGTTTGAGATTTATTCTTCATTAACCTGCAATTAAAAGATAAAAATAATTATTAGTGGTATATTTATTCATAAAAAATAGATAATGAGGGTATAAAATTGTAATAAAATATGATTATCACTTATTTTCTTAAACAGTGGGATAACATTGTGCGTAACTTTATTCGGAGATTTAGCAAAAAATGAAGGCTCAATTATTGAAGAAAATATTAATGACACAACTATAATAGCATTGTCAAATTTTAAAATTTCATTGTACAAAGGTAAAATATTTTTCTTATTAAATTGCAAAT